GACCCTCTGAAATGATGCAAAGGAGCAGCTTTTCTGCAAGGAGCACAAATCCTTCTATTCCCCACCATCCAATCAGAGCTGAAGAAGCTCCTTGGATGAGAAGGGAAACGTCTTCAGAGAAAAAAACCAGAAAGTCCACTTGCCTCTTGGAAAAAAGCCCTTCTGGGACTAAAGGAGACTTCGACGGGGGATCGTGGGAGGGGGGCTGCGCCTGCTTCTCCGGGCATCTTCCTCCCCACCGCCAACACCGGCATCCCTGTCCGGGGATCCGTCGGCTGCGCTTTGCAGCGATCCCAACCAGTCCAGCGGGAGCGGCGGAGGCGGAGGCGCGGGACAGAGCGCGGATATCCCTCCTGGGACGAGGCTCGTTTGTCTGCGGGGCTCCCCTTCTGCGGGGCCGCCCCGGGGGGCTCTTCCTCGCGCGGGGGTGGCGGGGCGCAGGGAGAGCCCTCGGGCGGGTTTTGGGTCCCCGAGCGCGGAGCGGCGGAAGGGCCGTGCGGGTCGAGGGGGCAGCGCCGCCTTCGGAAGCCGGAGCGGCGAGGAGCCGCCGCGGGAAGCGCCCAACGGGATCGGCCGTCGCCTGGGACTGCAGCCGCGCGTCCCTCCGGACTCCCGGGCGGCGGCTGTTCTGCGGCCTGCCGGGTTCGGGAGCGCAGCCGCTGCCCGGGATGCCGGCTCCGCCCGGGGAGCTTCTAGCCGGGTCTCCCGCCGCGGCCCCGCTTCTGCCGCTGGTCTCTTTCCTTACGGGGGTCCCAAGCGGCGGGGAGGGTCCCGCGAGGGCCGCCTGCGAACCGTCCGGCCTCGTAACCGAGCGGCGGCCCTGGACCCGCAGAAGGGCTCCGCAGGGACGGGGGGGGGGACCCGACCTTTTGCCCCCCTTCGACCCTGCAGGGGCCCCCTCGAGAGAGAGAGCCGGGAGCCGGTTCCTGCGTGGGCCTTTCACGCGGGAGAGAGAAAAGGCTGCTGAGCAAATCCAGGCTAAGGGGCCAACAAGTCAAATAACAGAATCGGTCCCGTTTTGCAAGCGAGAGATATAAAATGGGTAAAACCAACATAAAACAATCGGTTCTTTGACGGCTTTGGGAAGATACAGAAGTAGTTGTGGAAACAAATTCCATTTCCCTCCTCATTAGTGCCAGTTATTCCCCAGTAATGTAATAAAGCTCTTGATTAATATGTCAATTAATCTGAACATTTTTTAGATTAAAGGGGCTATTTTACATAGTATCAAATAATATCAGGAATTATTTTAAAGCAGAAATTGGCATGCGTGAATCTTGACTGGTTACCATGAATGAAATGAGTCTTTTTGTTAAAAATGTAATCTGTAAGATTGTGACCGGAAGCAACAGCTTGTGAAAATCTTATGTCAGAACCTTCAAAGGGCTCTAATATCCAAAAGATATAATATTCTGTTAGAAGCTGTTGGAGTGGGATCCGCATCTCTCAGAGAAATAGCGGAATCAGATTAAAGACATAATTTCTCTGACATGCTTCGGAATTGGGATCAAGATCAGGGGAAATTCCTTAAAAGGGATTGGGAAGTGGTAGTGACACGTCACTAAAGTTACCGAGAAAGGGCCATAGGAATATACTGAAGATATTATATTGCACTGGTAGGTGCCGTATTTCATCTGGTTTTGGTCACCACAGTATAGAAAAGAGGGCAGAGAACAGAAGACGGAATAACAAGGTTGGTCCAGCCAATTGCACAACTCTCTGGACCAACACACCTGGTGATAGAGGCCTTTGCTTTCATCATATTTCTATCATTACAGAACACCAGAGTTGGAAGGGACCTTGGAGGTCTTCTAGTCCAACCCCTGCTCAAGCAGGAAACCTATTTCATTCCATCCTTAAAGGCCTCCAGCGATGGAAGATGCAGCCACAACCTCTGGAGGCGAACGGTTACACTGACAAATCGTTCTCGCTCTTAGGAAGCGTCTCCTTAGTTTGAGTCGCTTCTTCTCTCCTTGTTTACTTTCCGTCAAAAAAAGGTTATTTGGAAATGAGAATTTAGAAAGGTTTTGCTTGTCTAGCTCGCATTCCACAAACTTTCTGTTCTCCTCTTAAATAGTTTTAAGTCTGATAAATACATAGGACGAACTGTGGCAGGAATCGGGTATGACCAGTCTAGAGAAAAGAAGGATTATGGGAGACGTGATAGCAGCGTCCCAATATTTGAGGGGCTGCCCCAAGGAAGACGGGGATCAACCTCTTCTCCAAAGCCCCAGAAGGCAGAACAAGGAGGCGACGGATGGAAACTGAACAAGGAGAGAAGCAACCTGGAACTAAGGAGGAATGGATTGACCGAGGACCATCAGAGGAACGATTGCCCTCCGGGAGCGCTGGGGGCTCCATCACTGGGAGGTTTTTAAGAGGAGACTGGACAGCCATTGGTCTGGAGTGGGCCAGGGTCTCCTGCTTGAGCAGCAGATGACGCTAGTCCAGGGGTTGCCAGCCTTTTGGACTTCAGGGACCACCAAGCTCATCATTTTAAATCCCACGGACCAGAAACCCTGGGAAAATCCCCCCAAAAGTCTGCAGGAAAATTCTTTATTTGGGATCGCAGAATCCTGTCTCCAGCTCCGTTCTCAGAGAGAGAGAGAGGAGAGACTTTTGGCTTCATGCAAGGAAAGCAGCAGAAGCAGCCAAAGTCTTCCTTTCTCTCCCCCAAACTCTGCCAGAAATGAGTCTTTGTGAAACTTGTCATACCGGTGCAGCCTCTCAGAGCAGGAGGCCTTGCAGGGTCCCAAAGGCTCATTCCTGGCAGAGTTTGGGGGAGAGAAAGAAAGACTTCGGCTGCTTTCCTTGCGTGCAGCCAAAAGCAGGAGAAGAAAGAAGCGGAAAGAAGCAGCCCAGGGGCCAGGCCGGGCGCGTGGGGCGAGTGGGGCAAGCCCCCCCTCCCTTTCCCCCCTCCCCCTCACTACCTTGTGTTGTTCGCAGTGCAAGTGACGCAAGCCTTGTCCTCCCGCAGGCCATGTGGGCAGTGCAGCCTTATGTTCCCGCACAGCCTGGATGAATTGCTTTGGGGGGGGGGGGACATTTCTCTGCAGACCACCAAATTGTTTTTGCAGACCACCGGTGGTCCCCGGTCTGCTGGTTGGCAACCACTGGACTAGAAGACCTCCAAGGTCCCTTCCAACTTGGTTATTGTGTAATGAGAGGCACGTAATGGAAGCCAGGGCACCCAGCAGCAGGTGTGTTGGTCCAGTGAGGGGTGCAAGGATTCCCATTAGAAATGATTAGTGTTGTCATCTTGTTTGAGGCAGTGGGCTTGGTCGCAGCCCCCACCCTCTGGAATTTCCAAGGGTCCTGGAAGTCTCTTAAGACCCAGCTGTGTTATGTTAGGAATGTAGTTTTACTTAGTTGTGTTTTTAATTTAGGCGATGGACATGTTGTAAGCTGCTGGGAGCCTTTTTAGCGTTGTGCGGCTTTAATAAATTCAATTAACAAATCATGGAAAAACGGATGTATTGGAAAAAGTTACATAACCAAGATGGGAGTTTGGGAGATGTACTAGAAAAAATATTTTTGTTTCAGTTTTGGAAAAAAAGTAATCCTTTTGGTAAAGCATAATAGACCCAATTCCTCTTGTTTTTTACACCAGTGTATACAACAATTGCTACTGAAATCTTGACTTGTTTTAAGATCTTTTAAATAAGTACCATATATTAGAATCAGACACGACTTTGCAACTGACAACAACAACAAATTGGCATTTAAGTCAAAAATGTTTTTTAAATGAATCCAGAGGTCAAGGGGTCTATCCAGAGGTTGTTATTATTATTATATACACAAAAATGTGAAATTGCAACTGCCAGATGACTTTCACTCTCATACACGCTGAGTTTCCCCCAAGCAGCTCAAGGAGCCAGGATTCAAAATGCAGCCCTATTGTCCTTATGTCCCGATCCAAGCAGGGTGGGTGGTTTTTTTTTTTGGAATGACAGATAGAAATTTTCTCACTGTGCAGATTTTTTTAAGCATTATCCAAAAAAATCGTTGGCATGACACCCCGTGTGCTGATAACCTCTGGGACACCACAGCCAGTTTCTGCCACAATCTACCTCAATTCTTCACCTTCTATTTCTTCTCCTGATATCATCACCACATCAAGGCTCCCACTTTCCTCTTTTCAAGCCCAGGGAAATTTGGGGTGTCCAGACTCTATTCAGTTTCTTATTCAGAATCCGCTATAGTTTAACCTGTTTGTTTTAAACTACTTTTGCATGGGGTTTGTGTGTGTGTGTGTGTGTGTGTGTGTGTGTGTGTGTGTGTGTGTGTGTGCGTGCATCTTTTTGATATGTTTTCTATGTTCCCACCATCTTTTCAGTCCTGGCATGTGATAAGTTCTACGGCTGTTCCAGTAAATCCTTTTTTTTGCCATCCTCTTTCGCCACCTGCGTAACTGATCTCCTGAAGAGTCTGGGGGCCCCCTGACCTCATCTAGCCCTCTGCAGAGGGCAGAAAACCCCTGTGAAACCATCCTCCACAGCCATACCAGGAGAGGAAGGGCTCCTGCTCCTTTTCCAGTGGCAAAAGGCTCCTCGGGGCTGGGTGGAGCAAGAGCAGGGGCCTTCAACAGATGAACAGAGTGGGGAGGGACCTAGTAGGTCATCTAGTCCAACCCCCTGCCCAAGCAGCAGCAGGCCCTTCCCCATTCCTGACAGGGGGAAGGCCCACCCTCTTCTTGAAGAGCTCAAGTGATGGCGCTCCCACGACCTCCGAGGGCCACTTCTCTTCCAGGGTCGGTAGTTCTCACTGGCTTTGGGCCCAGTGCCACCCAGGCTCACCCCCGCTCTGCCTTGTGTCTTGCAGGTGCCGGCCCCCTGTTGCGAGCTGCCTGGAGGGGTGCCCCTCCTGTGGCCGATGCCCCCGCTGGGCAGCCCCCTCCTCTGTGCAGGCCCCCCAGAGGATCCTCGCTGGGGCAAGGCGGACGTCTGGAGGGAGAGCACGGGGGCCCTCCGGGCCTGGTTGGGCCAGCATCTCCAGAACCCCTACCCCAGCAAGGGGGAGAAGGTCCTGCTGGCCGTGCTGAGCCAACGGAGCCTCAGCCAGGTCTCCACCTGGTTCGCCAATGCCCGTCGGCGACTCAAGAAGGAGAACCGGCTCCACAGCGCCCCTCGGCTGCTCATGGCTTTGGGCGAGGAAGAGGAGGAGGAGGAGGAGGAAGGCAAGAAAGGCCACGCTGACTCAGGCAGGACCCCCCAGACCCCCTGGGGGAGCTCCAGAGCTGCCGATGCCTGGCGAGGACCCAGACAAGACCCAGGTCCCCTGGCCTCCCTCGACCGGGCTGCCCCAGAGAAGGCCCCTCCCGAGCACCGGCTGTGGAGCATCGCCGAGCCAGCCCCTTGCCTGCTGCCTGGGAAGCCTCCCCAGTGGGTATGGGGCCTCCGTCCCCTGAGGACTCTCTCCTCTGGCCTCCAGGAAGCTCCCCTCCCCAGGGAGGGGAGGAGAGAAGGGCCACCCATGGGCCCTGGGCTCCGGGGCCCTCCTGAGGAGTCGAGCGCAGCTGAAAGGGGCATCGCACTGCCCTCTCCTGGCTGGTGCACCCTGGAGGTGGACTACAATCCCCAGGAGGCTCAGCTGGCCTGTCAGCTGGTCATGCAGACGTGTGGCTCCGCACACCCGGAGTGCCCCAGGCGGGGGAAGGCCAGGGCCAGCGGGGGCGGGCTGTCCTGCAGGGGCCCTTCTCCATGCGGGCACGGAGGGCGACTCCAGGACAGGCCCAGCTGCCAGGCAGAGCAACTCTCTCGGCAGTGGGTGCCACTGGAGTAAGCCAGGCCCAGGGCCCCATCCTCTCTCCCGGCCAGCAGGGCGAGGGGCAGACCCCCTTCTCCAGATTGGGGGGGGGGTCTGCCTGGCACGGGGAGGGCTCCAGGGCTTCCCATGGACTTCTCTTGGGGGATGCGGCAGGAAGTCGCAAGTCGCAGGCATGTGCGGTCCTTGCTTAATGACCGGCATTGCTCTTCCCAGCCACATCACTTGGCGATGGAAATTCCACTCTCCGACCGCCATCATTAAGTGGGGATTGATTCCCTATATGACTCCCCAGGTCAGGACTCGACTTACGACCACAATCGAGCTGTCAACTCATAAAACATTCCTAGGCCTGTTTTAAGTAATTGCCATAAAGAAAAAATGGGGGGGGGGAATCCGGAAGAGCAGTTTGGAAGCAAAAGTCCATTCCAACTCTCATCTTTAAAAGAGTGTAACTAAACTACCAGGGATTTTGCCCACGAATCTATTTGATTGGAGAACGTGAATGACAACACCCAGCCTTTGAATAGGCTCGACGGGAGAACCTGGTTTATGAAACACTGGGGGGGGGAGGGGAACAGGGTCCCAGAGGACTGTAAATAACATAGGCCAGAGTTGGTTTCATGCAGGGCGGGGCCAGGAAGTCGCCTCTAATGAATCCTTGGAAGTTTTTGGAAGTTTGGCTCGAGAATCATGATTTCATTGGGGCGATTGGTGGAATCCTGACAGCAAGCCAACTCTGACATGAGCCTAACATTTCTGTTGCTAAGCAAGATGGCTGTTAAGTGAGTTTTGTCCCATTTTACGACCTTCCTTCTCACAACTGTTAAGTGAATCGCTGCAGTTGTTCAGTAACACGGTCCTTGAGTGAATCTGGCTTCCCCAACTGCTTGTCAAAAGTTCCCAAAAGAGGAGGGGGCTCATGTGACCCCAAGGGCTCCGCAACCGTCATAAATACAAGTCAGTTGCCAAGTATCTGGATTTTGATCACGTGACCCTGGGAGTGCTGCCACGGCCATAAGTGAAGAGCCACAAGTCTCTTCCTGTAGTGTCATTGTAACTTCACATGGTCACTAAACAAGTCATTGTAAGTTGAGGACTACCTGTAGATAATCTGGTCAGCAAGAGTTCAGGGTTTTGTCAGTTCTGGATAAGGAGGGTCTCCAATCAAACGGAGTCGATTCAAATCTAAGTCCAGCGAGTTTTCTGTTATCATTTCTTCTGAGGCAGCTCAGGTATCGCCAAGAAAGAACGTAGCAATTTATTTAGAGTACCCACCACATTTTATAGGGCTCCCCTCAATATCGTACAAAACTCTAAAATACCTCCCAATATAAAATGTATGTACAGTTTCTGTGTTTTTCTTGTTTTAATCCTACGTTGCTCAGAGTTGCTCTGTGAGGGAGACAGACAGTTTCTCAATTGGATATATAATTAAATAAATAAAAACATGAGCGCTTTTCCTTAAAGTCTTTGTGCCTGTATTAATCAAAATTAATTTTTTATTAATTAAAAAAAAGGTCTTTCTCGCTTGTGTTGGTGAAATTGCACGCACGTTTTTAGATGTTAGTAGCTTCCCTTTATTCCCCCACTTTGGGGGAGGGTCTTTAAAGAAATTGGAGAAATTGCATCATAACCCTTAGGAATTAATTGATTTGATTAATTCTAGGGTGATTTTATTGCTCACTCCCTGCGCCCCCCCCCATTTATAAACTGATGCATCGTAAGGAATTGTATCAATTGTTTTATTGCCAGAGGTACCATACCAAAACATCAAAAAATGTAATACTCTAGGTGCAATCAAACATTAGGATGATCTCACGCGTGAATCGTCCTGTTGGATGTGAGAGGGTGAGAAGTATCACTGACAGAACAGTCAATGTAACAGGAAGCGTTCTCATTCCACCCACCGCCTGCTTCTCCAAACCATTGATTGATGGGTGCCCACAGTGCTACTCATAGCACGTGACAGGACAGAGCCCCCGGATATTTTGGGGGACGGACGGACACACTGTTTCCCTTCCTCTGACTCCCGGTGTCCCGAGGCAGCCCCCCACCAACCGAGAATGAGGCTCCAGATTTTGCACTCCGTAGCTGGTCTCTGAGTGGTGAGACATCCTCCCTTGTGGGTGTTTGGAGTGGGGGAGAGGGACCCAAGCCCAGTTTTGCCCCCCTCCCCACACCAGGGCCACAGTTGTAGCCCCACCTCACCCGCCGGCCATCCCTGAGGGCTCCCAAGGGCCCGGATGCCCCCCCACCCTCAGGAGCCCCACCGGCTCCTCTGCCTCCTTCAGCTGCTCCTCCCAGGCGGAAACCGAGTGGCTCAGGGAGGGGCTGTGTGGAAGCCCCCCCCCCCCAAAGCCTTCCACAGGGCAGCGCCCAGAGGGACCTTCAGCCAGAGGAAGGCAAGAGGTTAGTGGGCCTGAAGAGTGCGGGGGGGGGGGGGGGCTGAGCTCCCTTGCCTCTGGCATGCCCTCCTGCATTGTGTGGGGATGGCCTGGATGTCCTCAAGGGTCCCTTCTGAGCCTGGGATTTGGCAGCTTGATCAGCCTTGGCAGTGTTGGAGGCCCTGATTGCTTTCCTGAAGGGGACCTCCGGGCGGGGGGGCGGGATGCTGGCACATGGGGATTCCAGGGGTGCCCTGAGGGCTCAGCCAGAAAAGAAGGGGAGCACCCACTTCCCTTTCTGCCCCAGGGGGAAAAGGAGCCAGACAAACCCGGGGTGTGTGTGTGTGTGTGTGTTCCAGGAAAGATGCAGAGCCTTGAGCTGAATCGCCAGGGGACTTTTGGATGGCCTCTGGCACCCCCACTTGAGGCCCTTCCTTTAGCAACGGGGGGGGGGGCAGCGCTCTCAGGAGGGTCCTGGCACACCTCCTCCGCTGCGTCAAGGACTTGCCCAGCCTGGCACAACCTCTGGGGAGCGGTGGCGGGGTCGGGGTGCGAATGCTGCCCAGGAGCCGGGAAGGGCGGCCAGGCGAGACAGGCAGGGCCTCCTCCAGGTTCCTGCTCAGGTTTCCTTCCTGCCCAGACCTGCCACCTGCAGCCCCATCGGGGTGAGGAAGCAACAGGCTCTTCCCCTTCCCCCGAGGGGCCTTTATCCAGAGGGATCCCCTGGGGCATCGGCCTCCTGTCCACCCAAAGTCTCCTCATCCTGAAAGGCAGCGGGAGGACGCCCCCTGCAATACGGGGTGGGGTTGTCAGGTAGACTGCCACTGAGCAGGGAGGTTCAGCTTCTGGGGCCAGGAAGGGTTCCCTTGGGGCTCCTTCGGAGGCTCTTCTTGGCCTGCAGGCCACCTGCGCCGTCTTCCATCTGAGCCCCAAGCGGGTTGGCTGCTCCAGCCGACAAAGGCGTCCCCCAGCAACAGAGGAGGAGGAGGAGGGGGCCGTTGGCCAGGGCACCCTCTCTGCCATCCGGGTGGCCTCCTTCAGGGACAGGGAAGCCACCCCGCCCCCTGCCGTGAAGTGGGGGCCAGGAGGGGGGCCTGGCAGGCCCTGGGGGCAGAGGGGTGGGTGGGTGGGCTCTGTGTGAAGGGCCAGGGGCGGGGGGGGGGCGGCCTCCCAAGGCAGCTCAGGCGGGCAAGTGGAAGAGGTCCTGGCAGAGGCACTGGCAGAGGCTGTAGAAGACGCAGAGCAGGAGGGTGGAGGGCACCAGGCTGACCAGGCCCAGGCCCAGGTTGGGGCGCTCCACCAGCAGCAGGTAGATGCCCAGCGGCAGGGAGCTGAAGTAGACCAGGCCCAGCAGGCCCAGCAGGAACCGCGGGACTGCGCGCTGGGTGCCGCAGGCCCGGCAGAGGGGCAGCGGGCCGGGGCAGGGCAAGGAGGCCAAGCTGGGCGGCCGGTAGAAGCGCATCACGTCCACCAGGTCCAGCGCCTCGGGAGCGGCCGCCGCCTCCTCCGGCACCTCCAGCAGGGTGATGACCAGGCAGTCCGAGGAGGAGCGGTGCTTGCCGTCCGTGAAGGGCTCCAGCCCGCCGGGGCAGAGCAGCACCTCCGGGGACGGCGGGGGCTTGCAGAGCAGCGCCAAGACGCGCCCGTTGTCCGGCAGCCGCGCCACGTCCTCGCCCGGCACGGCCGTCTCCTGCCGGCAGAAGGGGCAGCAGAGGCGGCCGGGGGAGCCGCCCGCCTCGGCCATCCGACGCAGGCAGCGGGCGCACACCTGGTGGCGGCAGCCGAGCACCTTGGGCCGCCGGCCGCGCCCGTCAAAGCTCTCGCAGCAGATGCCGCACTCCGTCTCGGGGGCCGCCCGGCCGAGGGGCTGCTCCCGCTCCCGCTCCCCGCCCGGGGCCCTCGGGAGGAGGGACATGGCGGGCCCGGAGGGAGGCCGGGCGGGCGGTGCCTGCAGGGGAGAGAAAGCGGAGGGGCGTCAGGGGCGCTGCGGAAACCCCCGGCGGGGCTCCTTCGGCCTCGGAGGGGGCCCCCGGGGGGGGGGGGGCGGCTTGGGCAGGCCGACCTCCAGGAAAGAGCCCGATCCCGCCGGGCATCCTACGCGCTCCTCCCGCGCCCGCACAGCAACCGGTCCTTAGCGGCGCCCCCACCGGCGGCGGCCGCCTCCCAGAAGCAGGAGAGCCCCCCCCCCCCCCCCAGCCCCGCCCCCCCCCCCCCCCCCAGGGAGCCCCCCCCCCCCCCCCCCCCCCCCATCCACCCCGTGGCTCAGCCGCTGAACCCCAGGTGGGAGGAGCCTCGCCGGAAAGACCGCAGAGCCCCCGCCTTCCCTCCCTCCCTCCCGCCCTCCCTCGGCCCGCAGGGACCCCCGGGCCGCGTCTGCCTCCTGCCTGCTTACCTCGCCGCAGGCGCGAAGAGAACCGGCCGGCCGGCCGCCTCGCAGGGACTGCCGCAACGCCAGCTGGGCGCTCCCGGGCCACGGGCATCCGCCTCCCCGTTGCCAGGGCGACGCAGACCGAGCCGGGTGGGGGCGACGCTCGCTCGGGACCGAGCCCCCCTCCCCCCGGAGGCCGATCGACCCCGGGCCGCTCCCTTCCGTGCTCCCGGAGCGGGAAAGCGGGGGGCGGGGGGGGGTTTCAGGCACCGGTGGGCAGGAGGGACCTCCGCCTGCTACCTGCCCCCCCCGCCCCCCGTCCCGCCCAAGCGGGTGCAGCGGCTTCGTTTGCGGGGAAATAAATGTGCGGGGCTCTAAGGGAGAAAACCCGTGTCGCTCGCTTCAGACACCCGGCGGGAAAAAAGCTCCTGACCACGAATGCAGGATTGACAAGGCAGCTGCGTCACCAAGGCTGCCCCCCCCCCCCCCCCCCCCCCCCCCCCCCCCCCGCCGCCCCCTTTCCGCCGTTCATAGGGCGACGTTCAGCCCCGAGCCGCGTCTCCACCTGTGGCTGCCCTTCCACGGAAGACGGGACTTCAGGAGCCCCCGGGAGGAAGGAGAGACCCGGCCCCGACCCAGCGGCCGAAGATGGGAAGGGAGGGGGCACGAGCACCGCAGAGCAACCCCTGAACGCAGCCCGGGCACCCAGCAGGGCCGCCTGGCGGGAATCCGGGGCCGGGGAGACCACGGAACAAGCCACGCTGACCCCCCCGCTCCCTTTTGGCCCCGGGCAGAGACGGGGGGGGGCATTCCTGCCATCTGACGGGTGGGGGGGGTTGCAACCGGATAGCTGGGCGGAGGGAGGGTCTTCAGCTCTCCTCTTCCAAGACTTAAACTAGGTAGGAGGGACGGGGGGGGGGCGTGTATTAAATTTGGGGACATCGCCAAACTGGCTAATCCTGGTTTGTGGCAGAGGGGACCCCCCCACATCTTGAGGCTTTGCATAGCGTGGACCGCGTCCTGCAGGGGGAGCAGCTGCGGAGGAGGGGGTCGGGAGGGGGGGGTGTCCCAGCCGCCCCCCATTCAGCTCATCCCAGAGAAGACAGAGGAGCGGAGGAAGGCGGGGCGGCCCCAGACGGACATTTGGAGGGGCTTCGGAAGGAGGCCCCCACCAGCCAGACCCCACGGGAGGGGCTTCCCCCTCCCCTGGGGCTCCAAAGGGGGATGGGCTGACCCCGCAGGGGGGATTCTGGCCTCCAGCCAGGGTTGCAGGAGGGTTTCATTCACCCACCGACAGACATCGAGCCCTCTCCCAAGACCTGGGGGGCTGCCCCAGAGAGGAGGAGGAAGGGGGTCAAGCTATTTTGTAAAGCCCCCCCGAAGGCCAGACAAGGAAGAACAGATGGAAACAGAACAAGGAGAGATTCAACCTGGAAATAAGGAGAAACTTTCTGACAGGGAGAACAATCAACCAGTGGAACAGGAGTTGCCCTCAGAAGTTGTGGGAGCTTCATCCCTGGAGGCTTCCAAGAAGAGATTGGACTCCCATCTCTGTCAGAAATGGTCTAGGGTCTCCCGCTTGGGTGCAGGGTTGGACTAGATGACCTACCAGGTCCCTTTCAACTCTGTTAATCTAGTCTAAATAATTTTGTGAATGTCCTGCCCTCCCTGGATAACAAAATGAAATTTCCACTGGCTTCAGGGCCTCCATGGGCTTAAAAGAGGATATTTTGGGCCAGCATCAGAGCTCGATGGGCCACTGGTCTCCCCGCCCCTGGGGGGGGAGGGGGGGGCTTTGCATTCCGATGCCGCTTGCATTTCAAAGCCCCTTTTGTTCTGGGGGAAGGGGCTCCCTTCCTCCTCCCCCCTGCATGGAGTCTGTCGGTCCTTTGCCAGGGGTGGCTCAACTGGCCTTGGAAAGGCCGCTGGTGGGATGAGCACCTGGGACCCCAACCCACAGGGACCCACCAGGCAGGAGAGTCCCGGGGTGGGTGGGGCGGGGGGTCAGGGCTGGGAATGCAGCCACGCAGCCCACCTAAAGGGTACCCACCCCACCCCCGGGTGCCGAAGCAGGGGCCTCTGGCAACGCTTCCTCTTGGAAGACCCCCGCCAGCTTTTGGGGAGGGGCTGCCTTCCACCCCACCCCCCCGAGGCCTGAGCCAAAAGCCCCTCAAAGGTCCACCCGGGCCGTCCTGCAAAACGCAGGAGGGGAGGCGGGAGGTCGTCCTTGACTTACGACCGTTCACTTAGCAACCGTTCTAAGTGAACAGCAGCACCGGGGGGAAAGAAGACGTAAAAGGGGTCAGGACTGACTCGGGAGCTGTCCTGCTTGGCCCCATTGCGGTCCTAAGTCCAGGACCGCCTGCCTCTGCCTTGGGGGGTTCTGGGACCGGATGGGCACCGCCCAGATTCCCTCCCCTTGGGTCCTGGGCGAGCTGGGCAGCCACCCAGCCTCCGTGTCAGCCACGGGGAGTCCGTGGAGAGGCCTGTTTGACCCCCCCCCAAAAGACCTGACCTCGTGCTGCTCCCCACTGGGCTCCCCCAGCCCGAAACTGTGGCTGACGGGAGGAGGCAGGAGGGAGCGCTGGGGGTCCCAGAAGGAAATGGGGGGGGGGAGAGCCTGGCATCTAAGCCGGCCGATGGGCACATCAGGCCAGAAGGTGCCACGCCAGGTGCCAACCGCTAAGGCCACGGCTAAACCCCCCCCCCCCCCAGAAAAGCCACCAGTCCAGGGCAGGTGATAATGCTGGTTTTAATGTTCCTAAGAACTAGAAACAAAATCCAAAATAGACATTTTTCCTTTGCTCTTCCATCCGTAAAAGTCATAAAACGATTAGCATAGTTAAATTAAACCCTTTAAAAAAAAGAGAACAAAAACAAAAAAAAACGCCCCCAAAGGAAGCCAGGAGCCTCAGGTGGAAACAAGACAACGACCAAAAGGGCCGCCCAGGCCTGCCGCTCGTGCGCACCCGAGTCCTCGGCTCTGCGACGGCCAGTCAACGGTGCCGGTGGGAATAGGCCCCGGGGGGGCCCTCGGGGAGGAGGAGGAGGAGGAGGAAGGGGGGGAGGCCACGAGGGCAGTCACCACCACAGGGACACGTATTTACACGACTGACGGTGCACCGGCACCCCCCCCACCCCCGCCTGCTCCCCCCCCCTTCTGTCGTGCGGGGGGGGCCAGACCAGCCCCCTCCCCAGGCTCTCCTGCCCCGCCCCCCTCCTGGCCCGGCTGGGGGAGGCTCGGCCAGGCAGCAGGCGCCTCTCTGCTGGGCCCAGCCCAGGGGCACCTGCAGCTCCCCCGGAGGGACCGCCGGCCCCGGGCCCCTCCCCTCCCCTCCTGCGGCCACCCCTCCCGGCCTCTCCGCTGGCCGCCCTCAGTTGGGGGTGGGCTCCCGGCTGGTGCTCTGCTCCCGGACCGGCTCCGGGTCCTTGTCCGGGGCGGGAGGGGCGGCCGGGAGGGTGGGCTGGGTGCGCCTCGAGTGTCTGTAGGCGGAGAGCAGCTCCTGCAGGCGCTCCGGGCTGGGCTCCCACTTGGAGAAGCCGGCGCTGTTCTGCAGGAAGAGCACCACCGTGTTGTGCACGGCCTTGTAGTACATCTCCTCCCTGCAACGGCAGAAGGACGGGGCTCAGAGGCCCCTCCGCGCCCCCCCCCGGCCCCGGCCCTCCCCCTTCCGCACCCAAGGCAGCGCTGGCTCTCCACGGGGCAGGAACCGCCCCCCCTTGCACCTGGACCCAGAAGGCCGGCCGGCCGGAGAGCGCTGGGCCAGAGGCCTGGGAGTGTCCGCTGGGCAGACGGCCCACCAAGTCCACCAGGCCCGGCCGTGTGTGTGTGTGTGTGTGTGTGTGTGTTTCTGGCACCCCCCTTCCCCCTGGGCGCTCCCTGCAGGGAGTCCCACAGCCAGGGCGGCCTTGTTGGGGGGCTGCCCAGGGACCCCTGAGACAGGCTACGGTTCCAGGGGGAACTGTGGGGAGGGGGAGCAGGGGACGGCCCACCTGGAGGCTCCCAGCCAGTCTGGCTGGGGGGAAAGGAGGCCCTGGGAACGGGGGAGGGGGGGAGCCCCCCAGGGCAGCTGCTCCCCAGACCCGGGAGGGAATGGGGGAGGGGAGGGCGGTTGGTCTAGTGGGGAACGAAGGAGCCGGGGGAAACTGGGGGGGCCCAGAGCCGGCTCTCTCCCAGCCCACCTCGCAGGGCTGTTGCTGGGGGGGGGAGGGAGGGAGGCGGCAGGGCTGGGAGGTTCCGCCCTCCGCTGGGGTCCCCCCCGCCCCGCTTACTTCTTGCACAGGTGCTGGGAGCCGCTGCGGTAGTCGTGGTCGAAGGCCGGCAGGACCAGCTGATGCCGCTTGAAGGGGCTTTGCTCCATGCGGGTCAGGGCTGTCGGCGGGGGGTCCCGCCACTCCGGGATGAAGACGATGAAGGACAAGGGCTCCCCGGAGGCCTCCAGCAGTTTCTGGGGCGGAGGAGGGAGGCAGCAAGGCTGAGCCCCGCCCTTGCCCCCCCCCACGGGCCTCCCCCGCCCCCCCCGCAGGCCTTACCTCGAAGTGGGTCA